ATGTCAAATGTCCATGACTATTTATCATATCGAGTATTTGCATATCAATATCCCCTACTTTATTTTGAAGAGTATATGATATCGTCAACTGAATTGTTTTGGGAATACACGCATGACGTTGGGTGCCTCTACTAAAACTGATATAGCTGCCAGAATCTGCTAATCAGATTTTTAGCACTGACACTGTAAAAATTGAAGTCAACAACTGTGATCAAATTTTCACAGAATTCACTATCTTCATTATCAACACTTCCTAGGCAGTTAGCCGTGACATAACATTATGTTGTTTTTTTTTGACATGTATCATCACATACTTCCCCTAAATCTTCGGAAAATTAACGAAAAAAATGTCAACAAAGCAACAAGAATGACAGCAGACTGCGCTTCTTTCGCTTAGTGAAATGCCACCTATCTAACATGGGAGTTAACTCTATTAAAACACCTGGAAATAAATACAATCGGTAATCCCGGAATATTTCGGGTGCTGTATATGGAAGGCTTGTGCCGATCCCGAAATAATCCGGGTACCGCAGGACAAGGGTTAAGTTTTTGAGATAAAGATGTCCAAAAACGCTCCAAATCAGAAACTCTTTATTTCTTTTTATTATTATAGAACGACAACCCTTTTTCGCTGAAGATCAAATAAAACCTACTAAATACATTTCATGCTTATATGTAACACATAACTTTGCTAAAATTTACTTCAGAGAAAGCTAATTTAAAAAGGAATTGTATCATATATTTAAGTTTAATTTTTAATAAAGAATGGGGATATCACAAATAAGTTAATTCGATGTTTTTGTGGCATGTACTATATTAGATGAGATCGAAAGAGCATTTTAGATTAGGGGTTACAGAACAACAAGTAAGGTGGAATTAAAAAGTCGAACGGAACTGTTTTTCAGACTGAATTGCGACGGCAATCATAAAATTTTACTGAGTTCGTGCTGCCATACTTTCTAGGCAGAAATAGCTCTTTAGAATTAATGTCTTCGTTAGAAATTTTGGCATTTACCTGTGACAATAATTTAAGCTTCGTGCAAAATATTGTTTCAACTTGGAAGAAATGTTAGAAAATGGCTAACAATCAGCATTGTTGATTGTAAAACATTCTTGGTTCATCAAAAGAAACCGATTGACGAAGCCCCTTTAACAACAATATGACTTTTATTGTTAATTGTCAGTAGTAATAATTACAAATTTTGAAAAAAGATGTCGATGTATTTGTGATTTTACATGTACCTTCAGTCCATTCAATAACCTGTATTTATTACTCAAATGGTTTCTCAATTAGCAGAATGTGAAAATAAAGAAAATACAGTTTCACTTACAATATGACTAACTAAGAAGTTATTCATTGCGATTTGGCCTGACCCCCACTCCACCCGTTACATGTAATACCAATTTGTAATGAGTCATTGTGATAACTTTGTTACGGTAAAACTCCTGTTTTTAGGAATGTGGATATGTGGCATTGTTTAATTTTTTTGAATCGGTACAGACTTGAAAGTTCGCGCATGCAGAGCGTCTTCTGAACAAACTGATGTTTAGTCATTTGCAGTTGACATATTCTGTCAAAAATATTCCTTACACCGGTGGTAATTATTTCTTTGTATTGTGCACAAACGTCATTCCTTAAATAGCCCCATGCCCCTTTAACAACTTATAAAGCATGATTTTTCTGTTAGGCAATTTATTCTACACTTTTTGATGTGCTTTATAACTATTGAAGAGGCTCGAATTCATAAGATCTGGTTGTTAGATGTGTTTACTCTGTGTGTTGATGGATAAAACAATCAAAATTAATATTTGTGTCTGTGATAATTATTGGAAACGGAACGTTTTTTTTAATTAGGACATTAGTGTCTATGGCATGAAAACGGAAAGCAGTTTGTATTTGGAATTTACAAGTTGAACGAGTATCAGTTAACCCGTTAAGAAGCAAACTCGTACACGGTTAAGGTAATACTCTTGACTCGTATATAAATTGATTGGAATAAATCAGTTTTACTCCTTGGTTGTTTATATTGTTTTATTTACCTAATAATCAACTAGCTTGGCTCGCCAGAACGACAGAGATAAATTCACCGATGTTTTTGTATTAAAGAACAATAGTATTGTTTGTTGATTAGCGTTATGATTTTAGACAAAATGATAAATTCACCAATGTTTTTGTAATAAAATAGACCCGTATTGTTTGTTGATTGACTTTATCCCATGATTTAAAAAAATTGGCGATGGTTAATATTGGGTCAAAAATAATTTCTTAAAGTGCGCCGGAGCCCCTTTTAGATAAACAAAGTGGCTACGTGCAATTTTATTCTTTGATCTTTTATACACGGGACATTCCTGTTATTCAAACCAATCTGCACTTGAATGACTACATAACAAGTTGACAGTTCATCATTGATTCGGGGTTCATGTCGAATAGACTCTTCGGTCGAAATACAGTTATTCTTTTCTAAAATAAAACGAGTGCCTTGGATTTTTGTGTGGATTTGATAGCGGTTATAATTAACAAATATTCTCTTACATCGGAGACTTGTGTTGCGTTCAGTTCATTTTTACGGTAAGTACAAGCTTACGTCTGACTTGAAAGCGCTTGCAAGTTCTATTTATGTCTTATTTCTGTTTATAAGACTGATAACCAAAATACCTTTATAGTTTGCAATTTAAAAGTCTATCTTTGCCGTAATTCTTAACTATATACACTCTTAATACAGTAAATATGCAAAACAATTTGAACACAGCGTAATACATGTATGTCTTATGCATACGTGTCCTGTAAAATGTTCTAGACATGCAGCTTTACATGACTGGTTGGAAATATAACCGCATATATACCGGAAAACACCATGTTATACTGAATACCGGAAAAACACTTAAACCTAACTCTAACCCAGGCTCCTGGTTACCTATTTAGGGTGCTAGTCTCCGGGTTACCTATTTAGGGTATTTTCCGGTATTTAGTGTGTTTTCCGGTATTTAGTGTTATCCCGGTGTTTTCCGGTCTTCAGTATAAAATGGTGTTTTCCTGTTGTTTTCTGGTGTTTTCCGGTATATAGTATTGCCGACCGCATATATATCGTGCAGAATATGTGAACACGCGTATTTTCACTATACAACGTGAACTAAAGCATCCATATTATTAACAAAAATATTCAACATTCATAACATCGCGGCAGTATATCGTTTTGACATCGATTGTTTGACAAATAAATACCGTTAATTTTGCGTGTAAAATTACACCGAGGCCTATTGTGTCACACGATAGCGACTGCTACACCGCGTTATATATCGTGGCAATTTTCAACAAAAAACGGCACGATATTCGTGTTTCGTCAAACCTTCGCGACGTTTGTCCTGATACCTGTCGTCGTATGAATCCTGAAAAATAATATCTTACCGTATCGCAACAGGTCAGTACTAAAACTAACACTTATTACAGTATTTCAACATCGTGCGGCAAAATAGACATTCGACGGCAAAACTGAACGATGACCCACAACTAAACAAATCGTAATATCTGAGCATCGCACGTATAATTAGATGTTTGACAACAAAATTGAACACCTTGCGTAATTGGACACCTTGACTGATTTTAATCATGGCTCGGGAAATTGAACGGTCAAACTAATTATTGAACAGACGTGCTAATTAGACGGGACGCTTATAATTCAACAAGTGTCGAGAAACTAAACACTAGTTAATTAGAAGCTTGGTAATCAAAATTTAACAGTGAGATTTAAATTCGATAGAAGTACAAATTGAGCACTATTCGCCGAAATTCAACAATATTTATGAATAATTGGACACAAAGTAGAAATTAACGCTATTTACGCCAGATTAAACAGTACCAATGTTACAGTGAGAGCGTCCACAAGATTTTTCAAAGTGATCAAGGGCCATAACTCTGGCAGTAATTATCGGAAATCGCTGAAAATGAATAGGCTTCTTCATCTCACGACCTTAAACACTGTGTATGAATGTAAAGTCAATCGGATATTAACTTTGGCCTCTAGAGCGCCCGCAAGATTTTTTGAAGTGATCGAGGGCCATAACTCTGGCAGTAATTATCGAAAATTGCTGAAAATGAATAGACTTCTTCGTCTCATGACCTTAAACACTGTGTATAAATTTAAAGTCAATGGGATATTAACTTTAGCCTCTAGAGCGTCCAGAAGATTTTTCAAATTAATCAAGGGCCATAACTCTGGCAGTAATTATCGGGAATCGCTGAAAATCAATAGGATTCTTCATCTCATGACCTTAAACACTGTGTATAAATATAAAGTCAATCGGATATTAACTTTGACCTCTAGAGCATCCACAAGATTTTTTGAAGCCATCAAGGGCCATAACTCTGGCAGTAATTATCGGAAATCGCTGAAAATCAATAGGCTTCTTGGTCTCATGACCTTAAACACTGTGTATAAATTTAAAGTCAATCGGATATTTACTTTAGCCTCTAGAGCGTCCACAATTACTTGTGTACGCTGGACCGACGGACGGACGGACGGACGGACGGACGAGGACAATATACGACCACATTTCAATGTGGGCGTATAAAAATTGTGACCTCAAGAGGGACCACAAGCTAAAAATGCGAGTTTTCGTTCAATCACGGGCCATAATCCAGGAAGTTAGGATCCAATGTGCCCGAATATCGTCAAGAACCAAGGTCTTTGGGTTATAAACACACATTTCAAGTTTAATCAAAATCAGATTAAAATTGTGACCTCTTGAAAATGTGGGCGTATAAAAAAAAAAAGGGTGTTCTTCTGTGTTTGACACCATTAAACGGACTGAATTCAGATTTTGGAATTGCAGACTTCCCCCTAAAACTGGTAAGATCTCAGTACTATAAACAAATATATAAATCTATAAATAACAGATGATAAATGTAGTGAAATAGAGAGTTCTTAAGGGATTGTGGACAACAAATGGGAGTGATGACAACATACAATTATATTTTCATGTGGGTGTATTAAATTTCCTACCCGGGATCGTTTATTTGTGTTGTATTGTTTGGAATTTTGGAATATAATTCGAGCATCTTTGCATAGTTCTACAGGACTTTCATATTGGCCTGTGGAGAGCTTGTCGCGGATCAGACTAAAATCCATTGGTGTATCAATTACATCAAAATAATCCTGAAAATATAAGAGTAAAGTAATTTTCTTTAACAAATTGATACATATAAACCTTGCTAAACAGTTCATAATCTAAAGCTATAGTATTTTCTTGAAATCACAAAATACTTTCTTAATAATTGATGTAATCATATAGAATTGATAGCATAAACTGACTTAAAAATAGAAAAACATACGGGGAAATCTGTTATGGATATTGGAGCACGGAAAGGACCAGAATCTTCACATGCAAATACTGTATCCAGCAGGCGATGACACATGTCTAACCAGGCATCAGGATCAATAGATACATCAGTTGCATTGTTCTTTTTCGCAGAATTTTTCTAAAAAAGATATTTCATTTAAAATGATCAATAATTATTTTGATATGTTTTCCTAATCAACATCAAATGATTAATTGAATAAAGTAGTTTTTTATACTTGAAAATGTGTCATCAAAAAGAAGAACATGTTTTTCTAACCTGACGCTGTCTTCGTGATGATGTACCTTCATCTTCATCGCCATCACTGCTATCACCTTGTAATACCCGATTTAATATTGGCATTGGATCTTCACATGTTGGATCACTGTTATAATAAACATAGACAATTGATCTCCTACATAAAACATCATTTTTCTATCAGTAAATGATACTGTGTGCATGTGGGGTGGGGGTGGGGGTGGGGGGATAAAATGTAACTGACTGCTTAAAGCTGAATTTTAGTTTTCAAAACGTCATCATTTTTTATCATTTATATCCATATAGTTTTACGGTGGATCACTCAATGTTCATCTGAAATATCTATGTTGCTTGTCCATTATTATTATCATGACAAAGGCTCAGTTCTAAAAATGGTGTTCTTATTGGTAATGGTTACTGCATAGTTTTAGGGAACTTGCCTATATTGGGGACAATCAACAATGATCAAAATATACATTGTTTAACATGTTGATTATATCAATAATATCCAGACTACTGTGTATTATAGGTGTATTATCACCCAATAATACATTCTACAGTAGATATCGCTTTACATGAATTTGATTGGTCAGTTGAAAAGGAACTACTTTTTTTTTATTTTCAAAGAACAGTTCATTTCTTATTAAAAGTAACTTTTTTTTTATTAAAAATGAACTATTGTTATTCAATTGACCTTGATGGAAACACTGGGTCAATATAAAGGACTTTTCAATGGTTGAATTGCTGTCAAAAAATGATGTATCACTACGCCGTAATGTTCAGTAAAAGTGAAATCTACAGCAAAGAATTATATTTATCTATTTGTGCATGTAAGAAGGGATTGGGTGATAAATAAAATCTCCTACTCGTCTTTTTTGATATCAAAAAATATCAACACTCGTTGATAAAAGTAAAAAAAACTCGGCAGAGCCTCGTTTTTTGTTACTTTATCAACTTGTGTTGATATTTTTTGATATCAAAAAAGACTGGTAGGAGATTCTCTATTTCACAAATAACTCGCAGAGAATATATATAATGTAACCCTCATATTGTAAAATACAGTGTTTCAATAGTGATCATGATAAACCGAACCACGATCTTTGGGATACAAACATATATTTTAAATTTCATCAAAATCTGCTAAGAATTATGACCTGTAGAGTGTCCACAAACAAATGGAAAAGGACTTTTGGACAGACAGGGGCTACGACCTAATACGTCCACCAGCAGCTGCCAGGCAGGATACGCCCACATTTTGCAAGAGATGGATAGAGAACAAGCTAAAAACAAACAGGATTTTTTGTACAATCAGGGGCAATAATCCAGAGAATTATGGTCTGAAATGCGCAAATATCAAAAGGGACTGAGATATGTGTTTCATCAGAATCGGATAAAAATTGTGACCTCTAGAGGGTCCACAACCTTCATATTGCATACTTTTACACAATTTGCGTACAAAGAGCGGCCATTTTGTCGGGCAGTTTCATTTCGATTTTCCTGAAATTCGAATTCAACCTTCATTATGGTGGAATGGTGAAATATTTATACGGTTTTTAAAGGGACAATGTCACTCTTGCTGGTTTGATAGCTTCAAAAGATAAAAAAATAGCCTTATTGTAAGTACTAGATGTGTTTATGTTTTACCTGTTGTGTAAATTATCCATTATTTTACTTGTCCAGAGGGTTCGAAAATATTTTTAAATCCAAGTCACATTTGAAAATCTTTACGTTAGGCTTTTCAAATCATTTGAGAGTCAGTTCTATCAAGGGAGGTAATAAGTTCCAGATTTGACTGACTTCCTGTTCTAGGAATAGCTTTCCGTGATGTCATCACCGGGATATCCCACGCGTTGCGGTACCGATTCCCGAATAATAATGCATAAGAAAAGCCGAAATGGGGGTTAAAATGACTTGGATTACCACACAATTAATTCAAGTTGATTAATGACATTCTATACACAGTCCGTCCGCAGATAATCTGCTTGTATTGTTTACATATATATATATACTATAGCCTATAGCACGCTGGTGTCAATTACTCAATATCACCTACACAACTACAGACTTGAGTTCGACATTGATTGACAAGTGTTGATTTTTTCCGTCGATTGACAAGTAGGAAGTAATATTTATATTTTAAGTCACGCGTGTAATTATTAGTAGATCGCTATGCCTATTGATTCGACTAAGAAGTTCAAACAAGCAGGATATCAGAGAGATGGTCGTTAACAAATGTGAACCTCAACATGGGCAACCAGGCAAAGCTGTTTTTATATATAATAATACAGGTAATTTGCAAAAAAAAAAAACTCCAAAAAAACCCACATTATCAGTGAAAACCAAATTCAATCTATTCTTATAAGCTTATTATTATTATTTGCCATGGGGAAACATCATCTTTTTTAAAAACATTAATTGTTTATAATGTTTATAAAAGATGCAAAATATTGTTTCTAATTCTATTTTTTTGAGGGCTGATTTCCAGGCTTCTAGTCTTCGAAATTTTCTGGGGGAAGCCACCTGGTATTTGTGTTCGCAAAGTCTGACTCTGTCATCCATGTGCACCCATTATTCATGGTCTCTGAATGGGCCTTTGTAATTTTTAATTTTCCATTTTTTATTTATTGTTGACTTTCTTTTAATCAAGTTGTTTAAATAGATCATTTCAGCTAATGTTAATATAAGTAACCTGCGTTTAAATTATGACAGGATGAGGCTGATAACCGCAAGGTTTGTCAGTTTGTTTGATGATCATCATTTCAATGTTTTCACTTCAGTTTTCAAATATCTCGCCAATAACTGAAAACAGGACTTTTACTTGTTTTTCTAAGGACTGTACAATAATTAAGTCCCAAAACAATAACTCTTTTACAATTTCAATCTTTTCGGTACCACAGAAAATATTTTTAAGAGGGCATCAAACTGGGCTTTTGCACCAATGAAAGGAGCCAAGAATTATGGCTTCATGTTATGCTTGCTATATAATATGGTGAAGGCCCCTGGGCCCAGATGCCAGTCACATCTACAAACCTTAGCCTCAGCAGATCACGCTCGCAATATTACGGTTTCCCACACAAACCCCATGAAATTTTACCTTGGACGCTACCCTGCAAAAGGCAATGTGTCTTTATTTAAGGAAACAAAATCGAATAGGCCTACTAATTATTGATCTCACATCTCCTACCCATACTGGTCTAAGCCTACTATGTGGCTTCTCTGGCAAATTCTAAGGAAACACTTGTCTGCGATATTACCCTAGGTGGAAACGGGCATTAAACCTAAAGCCCCCCTTACTCCCCATTTAGGATTGAACATAAAGGAAAATCATGAAGGAAAAGACCACTGAGTGGGGCTGACATCTGAAAGATTGCTGGGACCATTGCTACAACCAAGTCCGAACCAACTTCAGAAATAGACAAAAAAGAGAACCAGATTTTAATGTAAGAATTTTTTTATTTTCCATAATAGTCTTCTTGGATTAAAACCAGTATACTGTCCATATCTTCAGGACACAATAGGAGGGTATTAGACTATTAGGACTTTATTCCCTGTAGTACCAAGGGGCCGCATCACAAACTGCCTGTAAGCCATTGGTTCGGTACACATTGGCAACAATCTGATTAAAATACAAATCTATATTTCATTTTGGTTTTTTATACTTTCGATGGCCTACACTATACGAAAATCTGACAGGTTGTAGTGGAAGGTTGTGTCAGAGGTCATACAAGCGGCTTTTGACTCTATAATGTCAGACATTTGATTAACCAATCAGCATTGATGTTTCTAGTGGGTTACCCACAGTTCCGTGAAATTCATGCCAAAAACTTGTCGTAACACTTCACATCATCCAGAACGTGGGTTATATATAACAACTTTTCCAGATCCTAGTGTAGTAAAGACAAGTAAAATGAAATTTTGAACTATGAGAAATGAAACGAAAGAGGATCTGTGTTTTAATCAGATTGCATTGGCAAGATCGAGAACTCCTGGCTCTAAACTATACCCTTCAAACTCTTGAAAAAATTAAATTAAACATAAATTATGCAAGAGCTAAATCTGTCTACTGCATGTCTTTTTTTAGGCCTGAAATGTTATGTAAATTATTAAACATACATTATGTAAGAGCTAATTCTGCCAATTGCAGGTTTTTATTTAGGCCTGAAATGTTATCTAAATTATTAATTAGACATTAATTAACTTATCCAGACCATAATCAACTCTCAATGTCATCTCTAGCCAGTGATAGTTACTGGATTGGAATCTGATCTGTTGCTCTATACTCATTGATGATTAAATAAAAAAATGCATAATCTAGGCTATGTTCTTAATCGTACCGACTTTATTTATTATGAATATGATCGAGGTTAGGCCTAAAATTCAGTCGCTAAATTCTCGGTGCCGAGTGGGTCAATTTGACTGAAATTTTCAGAAATTTCTCTTTACATTATCTAACAATTATAGTGAGAACTACCAGCTCTTTATCTAATTTCCCATAATGTATCTTTAACTATTTTGAAAATCTATTTTCAGTTAACCCGGGTAATTTGAAAAGAAGTGAAATGAAGGGGTTTTAACTACTGCTGTTCAACTACCCACGCCTATGACATTAGTCTTCCTTGATGAAATCTTTCGAAGGATATTATGACAAAAAAGAACCACTTACTGGTTGTAAAGAAATACAATTCTCTGGTCTGTTAAAACATAACTTCTCGATATCTGTAGGCATAACTCCACATCTGTCACAGGAATTGGATTTGGTGATTGGCTTGACTGTTGATTCACAACTTCTTCCAAAATATCAAACAAAATTAAAGGCATTATTTCAGCAAAAGACAACAAATGTCTCCTTCAACCATCTACTTCTAGCTTATTTACCATTTTCTGAAATTTGAAAATTGTGTTAGCATTTTGTAAATAATTATCCCCCAGCTCATATACTGTCTGAATATTTTATATAATTATTATCAGAAATGATCATACATATTTTTGTATTTCTATGTAAATATATCAGCTTATTTTTTTATACAATTACTTATACCAAAACAGCTGCTCCTTTGAGCTTATATTTTTTGTTTTTTTATATCATTACAAGAAAGTGTGTAAAAAAATAATCCATCGTGAGTTTGCAATTTTTTTAAAGTAAATTTTCTATAATCATTAAAAATTTGTTCTTTGTAAATATTCTTCTATTTGCCTTTTTTTGGACTCAGTGGGTGTGGATGGAGGGGTGGTTACATGACATGTTACATGTAATTGCAACTTCCGTCTAGATCTTATTGTCCTTGACGTAGATGGTGTTGTTGATTTTGAAGGTTGTGTTGCATTAGTAGCTTCTGGCATAGATGGTGGGGGTTGTCAATACCGTAATGAATCTAATGATTCCACCTGGCATGTATGACACAAAAATGGTAGATCTGTTCTAGTTTTAACTAATCTCAAATAGACTGCTTTCGAAATACCTGTAAAATCAAAATGCAAGTAAATAAGTAAGGTTTTCCAGAATTTATATAAAATTCTAGACAAAATGTCTAATAAAAATTAATAATTACACAAGAAATTTTTCTGATCGGTCCCAACTGCAGAAATAAATCTTATGGATGATTTATTTAGCTTGAGTTGATATTACTGACAGAGGCCACTGAGAGTGAAACTTCAAATAATCAGTTCTATGATCAATCAATAATAATAATAAAAAAAATGCAGTTTAGTGAAGCCATGCCAAGATTAGGGCTAATCAAAGACAATCAGCTAATTTTAAAGATAATTAGATAGTTTGATCCAAAAATTAGGTAACCAGGCAAAGCCAGTGATAATCAGTTTACTCGAGGCGAAGTATTATTAGTAATAGTTTACTAATAGTAGTAACGCCAACGGTATAATCAACAATGACAACGGGTATCGAAATTCTAATCATTCACTGCGCAATTTGTCCCAGATTTTGAAGCCTTGAGAGAATAAGTAAAGAATATAAACTTACCGGAAAGAATGGAATCATCGTTTGGGATGAATCGTAGCAGTTTATGCTTTTTAGTAGTTAAACTGTCAGTCATATCTATCATATCGAGAAGCGAGCTGTCAATAGTAAGGTGACATCTTACACATGCGCGACAATGGGATTCTCCTTTTAGTAGACAAGATTTACCAGTCTCATTGATAGTGAAATTGTGAAAACGCTCAAGGCCTAGTTGAATTTTTCCAAATTTTTCCAATTAGGTGTGTTAAGACGAAATTTCTATCATCAATTAATTGGAATATTGTAAAATAGTACATTTTGTTGACCAGAATGAAGATTGGGACATTTTATGTAGTTACAGCAAGAGTGAAATTGTGACCTCTAGAGACTGCAAGCTAAAAATGTGATTTTTCGAACAATCAGGAGCCATAATCCAGGAAGTTACGTTCGGATATACGCAATTATCAAAAGAAACCAAGATCTTAATGTGTAATGGCAATGTTTTCAAATGTTTTTTTTAAATCGGATTAAAATTGTTAACTCTACAACAAGCTAAAACCATGATTTTTCATACAATCAGGGGCCATAATTCAGGAAGTTACTACCCGATATGCCTGAATATCGAAAGGAACCAAGACCTTTGGGTTATAAACATGCATTTCAAGTTTCATCAAAATCAGATCAAAATTGTGACCTCTAGAAGGTCCACAACTTTGATATACTAGATGTTTACACTAATTGTGTACGAGGGGCGGCCATTTTGTCCGGCAGTTTTTGTCCGATTTTCAAGAAATTCGAATTCAACCAAAATTACGGTGTAACAGTGATATATTTGAACGTTTTTTTACATCGGATAATAATTGTGACATCTAGAGGGACCTTAAGCTAAAAACGTGATTTTTCGTACAATCAGGGGCCATAATTCAGGAAGTTACAGTCCGATATGTGCGAATATCGAAAGGAACCAAGATCTTTGGGTTATAAACTTACATTTCAAGTTTCATCAAAATCAGAAGAAAATTGTGACCTCTAGAGGGTCCTCAACATTGATATACCATATTTTTATGCTATTTGAGTACAAAGGGCAGACATTTTGTCTGTCAGTTTTCGTCCGATTATTATGAAATTCGAACTCAACCATCCTTAGGGTGTAACGGTGATATATTCACACGTTTTTTTAAATCGGATAAAAATTATGACCGCTATAGGGTCCACAAGCTAAAAATGTGATTTTTCGTACAATCAAGGGCCATAATTCAGGAAGTTACCTTCCGATATGCGCGAATATCGAAAGGAACTGAGATCTTTGGCTTTTAAACTTACATTTTAAGTTTCAACAAAATCGGATAAAAATTGTGACATCTATAGGGTCCACAAGCTAAAAACGCGATTTTTCATACAATCAGGGGCCATAATCCATGAAGTTACGATCCGATACATGCCAATATCGAAAGGAACCAAGATCTTAGGGAGATAAACCTATATTTCTAGTTTCGTTGAAATTGGATAAAAATTGTGACCTGTAGAGTGTCCACAAACAATTGTGGACGGACGTCCGGACGGACAGGGGCGATAATATATACATCCACATGAAAATGTGGCCGTATAAAAACAGAAAGTGTGTAAATATTGTGTAAATAATTTGACGAAAAACGTCATTTTTGGACCTTTTTATTCCTGAAAAAAAAAAATGATAGTAGTCTGAAACCATATTAAAACTAACGGTAAATAGAGTTGTCTCCCTCCAATTAGATTTCCTCGACCAGGCGTAATATAATGTCCTACACATGCTTTGATCGTATGGTCGAAGAATAGGTTGGGGAAAATACCTCCAAGGCGTTATATTACGCCCTACACAGGGTGAGTGGCAGTTGTCCAGGACGTTATATAACGTCCTACGCAGTTAACGGGTTAAGGGACACTGGAACCCTGTATAAATAATACATGCATATATGAAGACTTACCTGATAAACCGCAATATGGTTTCTGTAAGATATCTGGCATTTTTAACAATCTGCGAGGATGGTTCATTAAATTTACAAGCATTAGTTTCTAGATATCTAACATCATACTGTATAGCATTTACACGTCTACAAAATATATATAATATACTGTAAAGTGGTAATGTGGCAGAAGAACAATTATAACTTTCTTTATTTAAACTTTATAGTTCAAAAATATCAAGAGATAGAGAGAGAGAAAGAGAGATGGGGTTTAAGGTCCACTCGACACAAACTAGGTCATTTATGGACTAAAATATGGCATAATTTTATTTCATTAATTTGCTTGTGTTAGCGGTCTTTAGCAGTGGGAGGTAACCGAAGGACTCAAAGAAAACTCACGAGGTTGGACAGGCGACCCTACTCCTTGTCACATACAAGTGGGAAATCGAAACCACGCCAGAGAAAAACAGGCTTTAATTCCACTTGAAACAAAATAGGTCATTTCGGGACAAACATATGTTTTAATTTCATTTCATTAATTTGCTTGTGTTAGGGGTCTTTAGCAGTGGGAGGGAACCAAAGGACCCAGAAAAAACTCACAAGGTTGGACAGACGACCCTACTTCTTGTCACATACAAGCAGGGAATCGAAACCACGCCAAGTGACTTTATGACAAGATATTATGATGCACACAACTTATTTGAAACTCACATTGAGGACCTTGTCCAATGTTGTTGTTTCTTTTATTCGGTGGGTCACTCCATTAATATTCAAGGACAAAATAAAGAGACATGTGACACCCATATAAAAGTACTATAGATCTTCATCATACAACCAATTAGACACCTCTTTTTCTTTCCTTTTTTTTTTGGAGGGGGGGGGGGTATAATTTACTAAGCATTTTAGACATATATAAACTGACAACCCACCTGTGCTCTACGATATTGAAAGCACAGGACACTTGCCCATTTGAAAAGGTTGAGGAAAAAACCTCTTTGACCCAATCTTGACCTTTGGCCAGTTTGTTTAAAATGGATTATGAACACTGATTTCAACCAATTTACATAAAATAAACATCTTATATCTGTGATTATAGTCTAACAAAACCAAGTTTATTAGCTGAAGGATTTATCTACCTATAAAATCTGTTTTCTAGTCGAGCTTTTATGGTACTGAGATCAATGGGATATTCAATAACAATAGCATAGACAGGAAATGCACTGAGATCTACAGGAGCACTAAAATATTCAGCTATAGCATGTTCCATCAACATCTCTAAACCATGGGCAATTCTATCACATTCTGCATCCCTTCCTGATGGTGGCCATTCCTCAGGTTTAGGTGTGTACAGTAATTCATTGAGTTGTTCAGGTAATACAGGCATACCTTCACCAAATACTCTAGGTGATCCTATAAATAAAAAATCAATAATAATATGAAAATCACCCTTTAATATATAAATAAAGTTGCACAGTGCTTTACATCAAACAAAGCAAAAGCAGCAACAAGTGTGACACTATATACTGAAGTAACACAGTCATGCATGTACCTTCATTATGTGTTGTTACTGTAACTCTTGTTGACCCTGTAAAAAATAGGTTATTAATAGCACTTGAACAATACAAGCAATCTAGAATTAACACTTTATATAAAATCAAAACCATTAAAAAGATAGGTTGCCAGGCAACGAAACATACGCCCACAGCATGGGTTCCACGTCGGCCGTATATGCCGGTCGAGACCTACGGCTATGGAAAATGACCGTTCCTAAATCTGATCTAACGGTCATTTTGCATGCCGGAAAGAGGGTCTTCTTTTTAAAAAAAAAACAATTTCAAACATGGCTACGATCGACCTTCACTGTGTAACTATACAAGAATGCACGTCGTCTAGAAGCCAATCTTGTCATTGGTGTTATAGAGTTGTATATATAGTCGCCAACAGATTATACTGAGTGTTGTGTTGATAATTAATGATGAGTATCTGGTAGTAGAACAATAAATGTTAATTGATAAGTGGGAATCTAATCAACGGCGTGAAGCGGCCCATTGTTAATCATTCACTTATTGTCCACGTGTCATAAGAATTTTCAACAACAAAGCCGTTTACCGCTATTACGGTCAGGCACAATGTAAACAAGGTTATTATGATCTTCGAAAAAGGGAAATTGATATGAAGTATTGATCTTTGAATTCAACCAAATGTCCTATAAAATAAAACCAGCGGCTGCCAGGCAGGATACGCCCACATTTTCGAGAGATGGATAGAGAACAAGCTAACAAGAAAGTGATTTTTCCTACAATCAAGGGCCATAATTCAGAAAATTACAATTCGATATGCGCAAATATCGAAAGGAACTGAGATCTTTGTGTTATAAACTTACATTTCAAGTTTCAACAAAATTGGATAAAAATTGTGACCTCTATAGTGTCCACAACCTTGATATACCATATTTTTACGCTATTTGAGAACGAACGGCAGCCATTTTGTCTGTCAATTTTGGGGCGATTTTCACAAAATTCAAACTCAACTGTCCTTAGGGTGTAACGGTGATATAAGTTTTTTTAAATCGGATAAAAATTATGACCTCTATAGGGTCCACAAGCTAAAAACTCGATTTTTGATACAATCAGGGGCCATAATTCAGGAAGTTACGGTCCGATATGCGTGAATATCGAAAGGATCCGAGATCTTTGGGTCATAAACTTACATTTCAAGTTTCAAAAAAATTGGATAAAAATTGTGACCTCTATTGGGTCCACAACCTTGATATATCATATTTTTTACGCTATTTGAGAACGAACGGCGGCCATTTTGCTGTCAATTTTGGGCAGATTTTCACGAAATTCAAACTCAGTCGTCCTTAGGGTGTAACGGTGATATAATAATACGGTTTTTTAAATCAGATAAAAATTATGACCTCTATAGGGTCCACAAGCTAACCAGCGGCTGCCAGGCAGGATACGCCCACATTTTCAAGAGATGGATAGAGAACAAGCTAACAAGAAAGAGATTTTTCCTACAATCAAGGGCCATAATTCAGGAAATTACAATTCGATATGCGCAAATATCGAAAGGAACTGAACGAACGGCAGCCATTTTGTCTGTCAATACGTTTTATTAAATCGGATAAAAATTATGACCTCTATAGGATCCACAAGCTAAGAACGCAATTTTTCGTAGAATCAGGGGCCATAATTCAAGAAGTTTCGGTCTGATATGTGCAAATATCGAAAGGAACCAAGATCTTTGGGTTATAAACTTACATTTCCAGTTTCAACAAAATCGGATAAAAATTGTGACCTCTATAGGGTCCACAACCTTGATATAACATATTCTTATGCTATTCCAGAACGAACGGCGGCCATTTTGTCTGTCAATTTTGGGCCGATTTTCACGAAATTCAAACTCAGTCGTCCTTAGGGTGTAACGGTGATATAATAATACGTTTTTTTAAATCGGATAAAAATTATGACCACTATAAGGTCCACAAGCTAAAAACGCGATTTTTCGTACAATCAGGGGCCATAATTCAGGAAATTACGGTCCGATATGCGCGAATATCGAAAGGAACCGAGATCTTTGGGTTATTATAAATATACATTTCAAGTTTCAACAAAATAGGATAAAAATTGTGACCTCTATAGGGTCCACACTCATCCTTAGGGTGCAACGGTGATATAATAGAACGTTTTTTTTAAATCGGATAAAAATTATGACTTCTATAGGGTCCACAAGCTAACCAGCGGCTGCCAGGCAGGATACGCCCACATTTTCGAGAGATGGATAGAGAACAAGCTAACAAGAAAGTGATTTTTCCTACAATCAAGGGCCATAATTCAGGAAATTACAATTCGATATGCGCATATATCGAAAGAAACCGAGATCTTTGGGTTATAAACTTATAAACGTGATTTTTCGTACAAACAGGGGCCATAATCCATGAAGTTTCGATCCGATACAGACGGACGGACAGGGGCGACAGCATAATACGTCCACATGAAAATGTGGGCGTATAAAAACGCGATTTTTCGTACAATCAGGGGCCATAATTCAGGAAGTTACTGTCCGATATGCGCGAATATCGAAAGGAACTGAGATCTTTGGGTTATAAACTTACATTTCAAGTTTCAAGAAAATCGGATCAAAATTGTGACCTCTGTAGGGTCCACAAGCTAAAAACGTGATTTTTCGTACAAACAGGGGCCATAATCTATGAAGTTTCGATCCGATACATGCCAATATCGAAAGCAGCCGAGATCTTTTGGGGATAAACCTATATTTCAAGTTTCGTCGAAATCGGATAAGAATTGTGACCTGTAGAGAGTCCACAAACAATTGTGGACAGACGGACGGACAGGGGCGACAGCATAATACGTCCACATGAAAATGTGGGCGTATAAAAACGCGATTTTTCGTACAATCAGGGGCCATAATTCAGGAAGTTACGGTCCGATATGCGCGAATATCGAAAGGAACTGAGATCTTTGGGTTATAAACTTACATTTCAAGTTTAAAAAAAATCGGATAAAAATTGTGACCTCTATAGGGTCCACAAGCTAAAAACGTGATTTTTCGTACAATCAGGGGCCATAATCCATGAAGTTTCGATCCGATACATGCCAATATCGAAAGCAGCCGAGATCTTTTGGGGATAAACCTATATTTCAAGTTTCGTCAAAATCGGATAAGAATTGTGATCTGTAGAGAATCCACAAACAATTGTGGACGGACGGACGGACAGGGGCGACGGCATAATACGTCCACATGAAAATGTGGGCGTATAAAAACAACGTACGTGTTGGGAGAAAAATGCATTTAAAAATGTTTATAGCGTTATTACGGCCTTGTGGAAATTTTGAAATAAAATCTAGAGATTAGTTAACATGCTTACCGAACAATTAAGAAAAATACGTATTCCAGTTCTATTGTGCAGCAATATTGATAATTCCACGTGTAGAAGAAATGTCGTGTATATACGGTTACTCTTATACACGACCATATTCTAGGGGGCGCTAGTGTCGCTAGCCGTGAAGTTAGTAATCCGTTAGTCATTTAGTTATACATTATTAGGATTTACGTCACAATTCTGCGGCCCGTAATTCCGTAAGAGATGGTCTAACACCAAAAAAATGTGAGATATATGCCATGGATAATTATATATTTATCTTCATTTCAAAGTTATTGTATTACAACTCAAAATTATCCAGGTCAGTGTGTTTTCTATAGAGCACGTGTTAATTACGTGTGAGCTACTGAAATGGTTTTTCTCCGGCCAATTCAACTATTTCGTTATTTAAGTAGCCAAAACGCAATATTTAATTATTAAAAAATTATCATGAGCCTTACTAATATTTCATTTTTAAGTCAAATATATTTTTTTTTCGGGCACTCCATGGTGACAAAGTGGTATAGAAACGTGAATTCACAATACCCTACCATGAATAAAAAACATGAAATATGAATTTACTTTGAAAAGTTTTCGTGCGTTATCAAAAATGACCGGCAGTGAAAATTTTGAAGTGGAAGCCCTGGCACACAGCCAGAGGCATAGCCATGAAATATATATTGGGGCGGGGGTCCGCAACCCTAACCCTAACTCATTTTTAAAACCCCTAAAACATAAAAACAAACATCATGTGGCCATGCTGTCTACCAAGACACCGCGTGCAAAAGCATTATGGTTACGTTGCTGGCTGAGCGGGCGATAAATATTTGGTTTAGGCGATAATGTTTTTGGGTACCTACATGCGATTCACTCTTATAAGTGACAGAAAAAAATTAACAAAATATTACTGACAGGCTAACTAGACACAATTTTATGGAACACAGGTACTTTTCACTTCACACATGTTTCCAGGATGATTATCTCTGTGTTTTATTTTAACAATGTAAACCATATTGGGATATGTACAGGTTTTATACAGATAGAATCTTAACTAATCCTAAAATAATTGTTGTAAATAAATAGGAGTTTGGGCCTACTATGTAAATTTTTTGGGGGGTCCAAGTATATTCAGACGCCCATGCCCACAGCAGCTAAATCGTCCGGGAAGTCAACAAGAGTTGTTGCATATTTTTACTTTTTTCGTTAATGAAATATTTATAATACACTAAAATCTGATTAAGAGTAACAACTCATTAAGTAATTATCAGAAAATCATTAGAATTTGTTTGGTTTTTATAAAGTTCTGCCCCATGCTAACGTTTAGTATACAAAACATTTAATGACGCCCATGCCCACAGCAGCTAAATCGTCCGGGAAGTCAACAAGAGTTGTTGCATATTTTTACTTTTTTCGTTAATGAAACATTTATAATACACTAAAATCTGATTAAGAGTAACAACTCATTAAGTAATTATCAGAAAATCATTAGAATTTGTTTGGTTTTTATAAAGTTCTGCCCCATGCTAACGTTTAGTATACGAAACATTTAATATCATAGATTTAGCTGTTCATTGAAAATCAATATACTTGTTCATCTCAAGACCTTAAACTCTGTGTATCAAACTGCAGTCAATCGGATGATAACTTTAGCCTCTAGAGCGTCACAAGATTTTTCAAAGTGATCAAGGTCCATAACTATGGCAGTAATTATCGGAAATTGTGGAAAATCAATAGGATTCTTTGTCTCATGACCACAAACACTGCATATAAATTTATTTAAAGTCAATTGGATATTAACTTTAGCCTCTAGAGCGTCCACAAGATTTTTTGAAGTGATCAAGGGCCATAACTCTGGCAGTAATTATCGGAAATTGCTGAAAATCAATAGGCTTCTTCATCTCATGACCTTAAACACTGTGTATAAATTTAAACTCAATCGGATATTAACTTTAGCCTCTAGAGCGTCCACAAGATTTTTTGAAGTGATCAAGGGCCATAACTCTGGCAGTAATTATCGGAAATTGCTGAAAATCAAAAGGCATCTTCGTCTCATGACCTTAAACACTGTGTATAAATTTTAGGTCAATCGGATATTAACTTTGGCCTCTAGAGCGTCCACAAGATTTTTCAAAGTGATCAAGGGCCATAACTCTGGCAATATTTATTGGAAATCGCTGAAAATCAATAGGCGTATAAAAATAACACACCACGATTGGGGCGCCTTCATAACACTTGCCAAGCAAGTTTTAAAGAAATCTCACAAAAACTTTGACATATGGAACTAATAGAAGTATTGTGGATGAATTATGGGAGTATGATAAGAACAGACCGACATACTGTAAACAATGAGACTTATTATACGTTTATTATAATTCTGAAGTATAGAAAGTACACATACTAGTTGGGCCATATGGTTCCATGTCCCATGGACTTAGTTTTTCTGTTTCTTTATTATCCCATCTATAAAACATATAAATACATCTACAAATTTAGAGAAATATATATAAACTTAATTAGCACTAGTGAAAATTTTGATTTACGAGGAAAATAAATGTATGTGTTCTAATTGTAAATTGTCTAGTTAGAAACTAAACTTCTATTAACTACAATGTCTCCTATGGTGTTCTTAATTGGCTTGGCAATATTGTATATAGACTGACATTATCAATAAGAAGAATACGACTTCTACTTAAAGAGCACATCAAATGACCCAATGAAATTTTATGTACTTATAGCCATTGGTTACTGTAAGTACTTACAGCAAGTTCACACCAATCTGATTAAAATTAATTCAGCCATCTTCACTCAAAGTTGTAAATATAGACCTCCAGTAAAATTGACGTTGCCAATTATTGAAAACACTCTTAATCCCCTCCGACTCCAGTGGCGTCACAGTGACCAAATGCATATTAGGAATGTTTATTCCTTAATTTATTTAAATATTATTTAGAATTTGTTTTATAATGCCATAACAAAGACAGTTGCTGTTAGCCATATTCCATGTGTCCTTTCGATCAAAATAAACCTAATTGGCTTCTGATTAAAACAACGAGATGGGTGTGAAATTGTTATCGGCAGTGCTACGAACATCAATGAAGCCAACAGAAATAATTCATTGTCGGCTTTTAATTGACTATATATGAAATGTGAATATAAATTATTTCAAGGATAAACGTTTGTGATAAGATTAGTTTATGTCTAGCATCGTGCCAAATCTAACCTTAGTTACTACACCCATAGTATGCAATGCCTTACATGTAAGGGAGCATATCTTGTAATATAGTTCACAAGCGTTGATTGGCTGAGAAATGATAGCAATCTATTGTTATGTGTAGCCACCGGAAAAATCCATATTCACCGTAAATTTCAAACAGAGTTGTGACAATAAATATGTATTTATAAATGGTGATTACTATAATTATATAGCTAATAATGAATATATCGACAAGAGAATGGCACCATTCTTATTTCAGTGCTCACAGAAAATAGTTAAGATATCAGTTGGTTAAGTATTGGCCGTGTTATGAAAAATCAGCAAGTTTATGGGGTCATCAAAATTACCGGTAAATGTGCTAATTGATTGGATCATCTTCATTTGCCACATGGCCTATTCGCACAAAGGTAACTAACTTGACCTGTTCCCTTTGTTTACCAAATATTTTATTTGACAGAAAGGGTGCGCCTTATACATAACTTTAAGCAAATCCTGGCTTTTCCCTGTGTCGACACCGAAGTCTGAAGTTCAAGAAATAACTGCCCTAGAATCAACACATGTCGACCGGGTGACGCTACCTTAAAAGCTTATGATATATTATCACTCAAATTAAATACAATACTGTTCCTTTTTGTGTCCATTCATATATGTCAATAATGTTTTAGATATGTTTAAAATGCGTCATATTTGTCAATAACCATTTAGATACGATTAAAAAATGTCAATAATTATCGCCCATATTTCTGTTATTTTGTGCATAAAAAAGATGTCGACATTTTCTGCTATTTAGTGTAGGCTACGGTATACCGTTTGTCATAACCGGCAATGCAAACACCATCGGCCGATAGCCATTCATCTTTAACGGTGTTCCAAAAAATAGTATACGTATCGTTAATATTTCTTGCTATTTCTACAACATATATTTCTGCTATTCCATATACTCTTGGCCATTACTGTCAGTTCTAACACGTCCCTGTTCAAGGTCAGTGTTGTTATCAGTCAAGTTGACTAATAGGGCGGGGCATGCATTTATACAAGCATTTTCATTGGCTCAATATAAGTCATCGGTATTAAGGGTGGGATTACAGTTAAACTGACATATTATATTGAAGTTCTTCAATCTAACCTGTCGTCGAAACTGCAAATCCACTCGACGTATATCATTGACATAGTCAACCAATTATTTCTTAATTTTACATCTAGCCGTTTCAAGTTACCGCTAGTTTTCATGAAACATTGATTCACTGATTGATCCATTGTTATAATTTACCGGTATCGTTAATTATCTACGGGTGAGTTGTCACCGTATGCTTTATGAAGTTGTTTGTAGTTCACAAAATCTTTGTTTCTTTGATTAGTATTAAAAATGCTATTGTATTATGTTACTGATAGATCTAAATGCTACAATCTAGGTATTGTCATGCCGTGTGTAGTCGCCGGGGCAATGGACGCCATCGTTTGTCAGTTGTTTGGATAGTATAAAGTAAACTAGAATTATTGTTTTTCTTTTACCGGTAGACAGGATTTAAGTCGTGAATAGCTGATGATAAATTATTTCTACAGTTATTATTTCATTTGTTTATCATAAATACCTATTCATTTATCACAGCCAATTGCTTGTGAATTTAACAGGATGTAATAGATGGCGATGTTTGTTGTGGGCGGGATTTTAAAGACAATTTGACTACCATACGAGTGCCAGAATTACCATTTAAGTTATGAAACAATGCGATCGAAAATTATAATTAATATAAAGTCTTATGCAATTCAAAAAATAAATATAGAGTTTTTTATTTCACAATGAAATATATATAAAGATTGATACTACTAAATATCGGTAATTATTATAACTGTAAACAATAGAGTTTGGCCCAGTTACTGAAGATCGCAGGTGTATTTGAGTCACGCCTGGTATGGCACGTGTTCCACAAGGCGCTGGAGAAGGGTACACCTAAACCATGCACTTTTATTTTTTCCTAAAAACCTCTGCCAAACTCGCCCTGCGCCTAATACACCGAAAAATATGGTAAGGCTGTAATTGAAAGATAGGTTGCAAGGCAACGAAACATACGCCCACAGCAGCTATATATCGTCAGGGCAGTCAACAAGAGTTGTTGTATATTTTTACTTTTTTCGGTAATGAAACATTTATAATACTTAACAACTCATTAAGTAATTATCAGAAGTTCTGCCCCATGCAAACGTTTAGTATACAAAACTTTTAACATCATGGATTTAGCTGTACAAGTCATAAAGATTCATTGAAAATCAATATACTTGTTCGTCTCAAGACCTTAAACTCTGTGTATCAATCTGAAGTCAATCGGATGATAACTTTAGCCTCTAGACCGTCACAAGATTTTTCAAAGTGATCAAGGGCCATAACTTTGGTAGTAATTATCCGAAATCGTTGAAAATCAATATGATTCTTCATCTCATGGCTTCAAACACTGTGTATTAATTTAAAGTCAATCGGATATTAACTTTAGCCTCTATAGCATCCACAAGATTTTTCATAGCGATTAAGGGCCATAAGATTTTTCAAAGTGATCAAGGGCCATAACTCTGGCAAAAATTATTGGAAATCACTGAAAATCAATAGGATTCTTCGTCTCATGACCTTAAACACTGTGTATCAATTTAAAGTCAATCGGATATTAACGTAAGCCTCTAGAGCGTCCACAAGATTTTTCTGGCAGTAATTATCGGAAATCGCTGAAAATCAATAGGTTTCATCGTCTCATGACCTTAAACACTGTGTATAAATTTAAAGTCAATCAGATATTAACTTTAGCCCCTAGAGTGCCACAAGATTTTTCAAAGTGATCAAGGGCCATAACTCTGAGAGTAATTAAAGGAAACCCCTGAAAATCAATAGGCTTCTTCGTCTCATGATCTTAAACAATGTGTATAAATTTAAAGTCAATCGGATATTAACTTTGACCTCTAGAGCGTCCACAAGATTTTTTGAAGTGATCAAAGAGAGAGAGAGAGAAATGGGGTTTAACGTCCACTCGACACAAACTAGGTCATTTCGGGACTAACATATGGTTTAATTTTATTTACATAATTCGCTTGCGCGTAAAGGTCTTTAGCAGTGGGAGGAAACCAGAGGACCCGGAGAAAACCCACGAGGTTGGACAGGCGACCCTACTCCTTGCCACGTACAACCAGGGATTCGAAACCACGCCAGTCGACTCAATGACAGACTTTATGATACAGCGCACGCACGCTAACCATTCAGCCATCCAACCCCCCTGAAGTGATCAAGGGCCATAACTCTGGCAGTAATTATCGAAAATCGCTGAAAATCAATAGGCTTCTTCGTCTCATGACCTTAAACACTGTGTATAAATTTAAAGTCAATCGGATATTAACTTTAGCCTATAGAGCGTCCACAAGCAATTGTTGACACCGGACCGACAAAAATATATGACCACATTTCAATGTGGGCGTATAAAAATTGAAAAGTGTTTTCGGCTGTCTGTTACTCAAATAGTAATACATCAAATAATCTTAATCAGAATGGTGTGAACTTGCCATAACGTGTATATAGTATCCACTGGCTACACCCACATATTGTTTGGTCACTTGATGTGCTCTTTGACTACTGAACAAGAGACATTATTATGCCATTGTCATTGATTGGTTCTAGTCTATAATTGTCAATTGAGGGATTTTGAAATCTTTACAAACTACAATATTATGAAAGTTGAATCTCTCAACTGAAGGGAATATAGCAGTCCATAATTGCTAGTTTTGATTTTTCTTAATGGCTGAATATATATTGATCTATGTACGGGTGTATAACTTTAATTCAAATCTTTCGATAGGTCCCTTTTCAATCCGATTGAATCCAAGCCTAACATTGATATTTCGGTTTTGTTTTCTTAATCAAATGTCAAATAATCAATCTGAGTATATTTTAGTGTAGATTAAGCAGGGAAAAATTAGATATTGTCAGAAAATATCAGATAGTGATCAGCGGCTTACATAACTTACAGAACATTAAAACATTGATACATGCTGTCTGGAAATTCTTCTTGGAATGGTTCCTGAGATACAATGGTTCCTAACCACCACATATCATCAATTATAGAACGGAATCTATCACCTGCAAAAATAAAGAAGGCATTACTAGCGTCTTTCTGAAGGGAGATTAGGTCACTATAATGGAGCAAATACTTTATATAAAAGGTTTCAATGAATCGCAAATTCCTACATGAACATAGTGTTGGATTATTACAAATTTATGTGAGATGTGGTTAGAAATGATTCCCGTCTGTGAACAAAGAAGAATTCAGGATTACTATGAAAAACAGAAGGTAAGGATGCCAAAATAGCCGTGGAAAAGAGGTGGGATAGAGTATTATTGTCTTTAAAGATAGGTTCCCGCATACAAACTGGGTGATTTAACGGTATATACGGACTAAAAACATATTCAAACTAATTAATTTGTCATAATTTTGCTTCAAATCCTTCTCAAACATTGTAATTGCGAAGGAATGTCCTGCTATAAAAATTTGATCAAACCAGGTCATGTCTACGTCACGTGACTTACCTCTCTTAGAAGTCAGAGGAGAATTCATTGCATACTTAAGACGATGTTGTCTTTAATCGCTTACTATTTATTACAAATATCGAATCCTAATTAAATTCTCGGATTATCCACTACCCGCGTCTTTTTCCGTCATTTTTATCTCAGAAAGTGTTGTACGTCTGACTCTTCATAAAGTTTATCAACTTGTACATCAAGCGCTCAATGTTCACGTGTGACCTTTGACATCATGCGTGCAGAAATTCCTAATCATCGGGCTGTTGATTAGGGGAACCCTTACATTTTTGTCCTGTATACGCTCCATGAGTGTTTTTCGGGGAATCCAGTATTTTTCTAGTAAGATTGAATATCTCTAATTTCCATATATACCAAAATTACCATACTTTTATTGGAAATAACCACCCGATAAATACTTTTCTGGGAACCCATCTTTAATATCATATTCCTTGTTAATAGGAATGGACAGGAACGGTCCGAGGAATTTGTCCATTTAGAGACCTTTCCGAAAGGAACTAATGATTACCTATCCCCCTAAAATTTAAACAGCATCATTTGGTTAGAATTCTGTTGCTTATACCGTATAATATTTGTAAAAGGTTAAAATGTTTACGATTCTAAACTAACAACAATCTGATTTAATATACAACAAGATTATAAACTGAATACGATCTGCTTTAATATAAAACAAGAGAAAGAAGTTACATACATTGAAGTGAGCATATTAGCATATTTATTTACTAGGTTATGAGAATTATTTTGTTAACTCTAGAGCACTCACAAGATTTTTCTCAAAGTAATAGACAACCATAATTTATCAGTAATTATCTTCATACACTCAACATTAATAATGTGTACAAATTTTACATCTTCATTCAATCAACATAAATAATGTGTACAAATTTTACATCAACAAGAAGCTGACTTAAGATTTTAGTGCTTCTATAAGATTTTTCAAATTGATCTTAGAGTAATTTCGGAAATCATTAGAATTCTGTCTCATGAACGTAAAAACAGTATATAATAGTGCACACAAGCAATTTTGTATGACAGATGAACAGACAGGTGTGATAACAATTTATGATTACATTTCAACAGGATCACAGCAAGTTTAGAAGAATTGTGAACAGACAGGATCCTCAACAATTAATACATTAAAGTATAAATACCTTGTTTAAACTGTCTTGACATGGCTGTATCATAATTCTGACGCAATACAACAAAATCTATAACATCTGGTATATCATGATATCTGTAAACATAATTGTATGTCATATGCAACATCCTATCTAATATCCTTAAATGACATTTAGAAGTAGAGGTATAATATTCATAATAACACAACTTTATGGATTTACTACTTCTTAGTTTATTACATGCAACGTTTCAATACTCTTACAGGTATCTTTATCAAGCAATTCTAATCTATCTAATCTAAATATATTGTTTCATTGGCATTTAGTAATTGAACTGGAATACACAGGTCACAATTCTATGGAATACAATTACTGTTTATTACTGAGCGACGTATCAACTAGACTTTTCTAGACTTTATCAAGCAATAATAAAAAGTAATTGTATTCCATAGAATTGTGACCTGCATTTTCTAAATATCATTGATATTAGATAATATTAACAAACAGTTGCCAAGCTATGGGGCGCTGTTTGTAAATTAATTATTTAGCTTTTTATATAGCAAAAAACACTAGATTTAATTTAAATTTATATATACTATTCAAAAAAAGTAGGGGATATTTGATTTTTAAGTGTTATTAAAGTCACCTAATGAAACTGACGAAGAAACAAATGACAAAATGAAATGAAGTTCACATTCATCGATTTATTCCAAATGATCGTTAGACTAAGTAAGGCACAGACTGACCATTATAAGGGTAAAATGATACCCGGGGTCAAACAGCAAAGTTACCACAGCATCACAACCAAGTCAGTAACGGGTAAATCCTCCTCTGTTTGCCAAACAAGCATTGATCCGACGTGGCATACTCCTAATGAGACGTCTAAGGTCATTTTGGTCCAGATTGTCCCATTCCTGTTGCAACGCAGCAGCAAGTTCTTGGACATTGGCAGGACGTTGTTGACGTTGACGTAACCTCTGTCCAAGCATGTCCCAGACATGCTCGATGGGGGAGAGGTCGGGACTCAGTGCTGGCCACGGTAATGTGGTGATGTTCTGTTGTTGGAGGTAACCTGTAACGATCCTGGCCCTGTGACATCTTGCGTTGTCATCCTGGAAGATGAAACGGCGGCCATGACGTCGTGCGAACGGCACAACATGGACTGCCAAGATGTTGTCCCGGTAGTACTGGCCTGTAACACGCCCTGCAACAACATGTAAAGCCGTTCTTCTAGCAACAGTGATGCCTCCCCACACCATAACAGAACCACCCCCAAATCGATCATGTCTGATGACGTTAACGTCTTGGAAGCGCTCGTTTCGACGACGCCACACCCTCCTTCGTCTGTCCAAAAAATCAACAGTGAACCTTGACTCATCTGAAAACATCACATTGCTCCAGCGTCGATTATCCCAGTGTTGACGATCCCTACACCAACGATGTCTTGCCTGAATGTGATGATCTCTCAAACAAGGGATCACGAGAGGACGTCGGGCGCGAAGGTGACCCCTATGCAGTCGATTCCGAATCGTCTGGCCACTCACTCTCACACCAGTGTCTGTTTGAAGACGAGCGCTGATCTGATTTGCTGTGATGACACGATTTCTCAAGGCCAAGGTACGGATAAATCGATCCTGGGCTTGAGTTGTCGCCCTTGGTCGACCTGAGCGTGGTCTGTCCTGTACAGATTGTGTATCACGGTATCTGGACCATAGCCTGCTTATGACAGACTGAGAAACATTCATCGTCCGCGCCACAACCGCCTGTGTTGTGCCGATCTGTAGCATGCCAAGGGCACGTAACCTTTCATTTTGGGTAAGCCGACGCATATCAAAATTTGTTTTCTGGTCACTAAAACAATTAAACTGATGTTTCCACCCTGGAATTCAATGCCACAATGACTGTAACATTCAAAGTCAGAGTCGTGCAAATCTTGGGTTGGACCCCCATGATGATCCCAAGCATCACCTGCATTCCATGCGGTAGCTATTGGTGCGTTTGGGCGTCACATGTAACTGGAAATGTTTCTTCTGTTAGGTTCTATAGTGACTTTTTTCGTAGTCATTTGCATATTTTAGTATTATGCCCCCAAAATCAAATATCCCCTACTTTTTTTGAATAGTATATATAGTTAAATCTCGACTTTTGTGCAAATTTTTCACTTTTAATATTTAAACTAAAAATACAACAAAAACTCAATATTTAACATAATATATATAAATATTTCTTGATTTGTCTCTATTTTCATATTTAACATTTAGCATTGAATATTAAGACCAAAACAAGAGATTTGATGATATATAAATATTTAGCTAATTATTTAGTTAAATGTTTAAACATTTAGCTAAATATATATTTAGTTAAATGTTAAAATATTTAGTTAAACATTTATATATTTAGTTAAACATTTATATATTTAGTTAAATAATATATATTTAGCTAAATAATATATATTTAGCTAAATAATGTATATTTAGCTAAATAATTATATATTTAACTAAATAATTATATATTTAACTAAATAATTATATATTTAACTAAAATAATTATTGTTGTAAGCGACTTCACACTAAACGATGACGTAGTGTACAACTTTCCATTGACTGCACAACACAGTACTATCTGGAACCTGAACGCTCAGCTTAGTTCTTACACCCGTGATTTGGGTTACAAGTTCGTGGTCAGCTTCCATTTCTAATTGCTAGTAGGCCTATTGTGCCAAGGCTCACGTGTCGGGTACACGTCATCATTTTATGCACAGTTTTTTGTGTCGCTTACGATAATAGAAATATTGGCGGGACCACAAATATATACAATATTTTTTGATATTTACATATATGCCATTTTTGTTCTAATATCTATCTAAATATATATATTCTGAGTTAAATCTAATGTTTTTTGCTATAAAAAAAATTAAATAATTATTTTACAAACGGCACCCCATACCAAGCAAGATACACCCACATGTTGCAAGAGATGGACAGAGAATCAAGCTAAAAAAAGAGATGAGTCCACATGTTGCAAGAGATGGACAGAGAATCAAGCTAAAAAAAAGAAAGGGATTTTTCAGACAATCAGGGGCCATAATCCAAGTTGTTACGGACAGATACGCCCAAGTGTCGAAAGGAACTTAGATCTTTGGGATATAAACATAATTTTACTTTTCATCAAAATCAGATACAAATTGTGACCTTGATCATGGTGTAATGGTAATATGTTTAAACAGTTTTTTAAATCGGATAAAAATTGTGACATAATCCAAGAAGTTACGATCAGATACGCATGAATATTGACAGGAAACGAGATCTGTGGCATATAAATATATATAAGACTTGTGCTAGCAAAATGAGTCAGAATGTGCAAAGTCTAATAATGAGCTACAGACAAAACAAGCGAAAATATTGATTTTCACAAAAATGAATCTATAATTATACTATCTGTCGACCCAAGAGATCAAAATAGCAATAAAACATTTCAAAACACCTTTATTTGGACGTTTTGTAAAAGTAAGGTATTCTTAAATCTTTCTTAAAATTCTCAGTGAAATTAGTTGTATTTCGACGCATGCAGCAGGACACTTGGCCAATCTCCTTACGTAATACTTGGCATCGTTGTGAATCTCTAGTTTATACATATGACTGAAGTATTACCGCAAATCTCATTTTCAACAAATATAATTGTGTTTTAACACCCATACAATATATAAGCATACATTGTGGTATCATGGCTGCGTTCAGGGCTCACACTGTCAGGTTGCAATTTGCGATAAAACAATGAAAGTGGCATGGCTCGAAATGCTCGCCTGGCTACTTGTCACCAACAGGCGATTTTTTCGTCTCACAGATAGCAAGTAAAACTACCTGTCGCAAGCGACAGGTGGACTAAATTTTACTTGATGTTCAGTAAATTGACTTAAGACCACAATACTCACATCCACGTCACATACATTTAATTATTCATTTCTAAATGCAAGAATTAATCACGGAAATACAGCGAAAAGCCACCATTTCCACTGTTTACATTTCGCTCTGTCGCAGGCTACAGTTACTCTCACAGTTTGGAAGTAAACAATTTTATAACAATGAATTTCACACCATCTACGCTTGTTTTCATCTGATTGACACTAGTTTATAACATATTATGAAGTATTATCTATATATATATTTGTGACTGTCGTTTGTCTGTCTGTTCGGGGTTGGCGGCTACACTAGGTCTGTCCCGAGTCTGAAATTTGGGGTATAGGGGTAGCTCGGACCGGGGAGTAACTTAGGCCAGGTGGCGTTAGTCTACCACTTCCGGTTTCGGAGTTGTGACCCCCGAGCAAAGCCGGTCTGTTCGGGGTTGGCGGCTACACTAGGTCTGTCCCGAGTCTGAAATTTGGGATAGCTCGGACCGGAGAGTAACATAGGTCAGGTGGCGTTAGTCTACCACTTCCGGTTTCGGAGTTATAACCCCCGAGCGAAGCCAGTCTGTTCGGGGTTGGCGGCTACACTAGGTCTGCCCCGAGTCTGAAATTTGGGGTATAGGGATAGCTCGGACCGGGGAGTAGCATAGGCCAGGTGGCGTTAGTCTACCACTTCCGGTTTCTGAGTCATGACCCCCGAGCGAAGCCGGTCTGTTCGGGGTTGGCGGCTACACTAGGTCTGCCCTGAGTCTGAAATTTGGGGTACAGGGGTAGCTCGGACCGGGGAGTAACATAGGCTAGGTGGCTTTAGTCTACCACTTCTGGTTTTGGAGTTATGACCCCCGAGCGAAGTCTGTCTGTTCGGGGTTGGCGGCTACACTAGGTCTGTCCCGAGTCTGAAATTTGGGATAGCTTGGACCGGGGAGTAACATAGGTCAGGTGGCGTTAGTCTACCACTTCCGGAGTTATAACCCCCGAGCGAAGCCGGTCTGTTCGGGGTTGGCGGCTACACTAGGTCTGTCCCGAGTCTGAAATTTGGGATAGCTCGGACCGGGGAGTAACATAGGTCAGGTGACGTTAGTCTACCACTTCCGGTTTCGGAGTTATAACCCCCAAGCGAAGCCGGTCTGTTTGGGGTTGGCGGCTACACAACGTCTGCCCCGAGTCTGAAATTTGGGGTATTGGGGTAGCTCGGACGGGGGAGTAACATAG